CAGGTGCTCTTGCCATGTTCTATCCAGGTTCTGTAGCCAAGTTCTGTGGCCAGTTTCTCCAGCCAAGTTCTGTCTAGGATCTCCAGCCAATTTCTGTAGCCGGGTTCTGTCCAGGATCTTTTGCCATGTTCTCTCCAGCGAAGTTCTTCTGTCTCTAGGTTCTGTGTAGGTTCTGTCTTCTAAGTTCTGTGCTCTAAGTTCTGTGTCTCTTGGTTCTGTCTTCTGTCTCTAAGTTCTGTCTCTTGTTGTCTTGTTACATCTATATTTATACCAGTTGATTCCAATCCTATCAATCTCTATCCCAAAGGTTAGGGCGTTTCTTATCTCCATTCCAGGGAGTAAAGATTATGTAGCTTAAGCATGATTGTTCGTGGTTAAAGTGATTAATTACCCGCCTGGCACTTAGTGAAGGGGTTTTATTCCCTCCCTAATTTCAGGGGAAAATCCCTACCTGGGGAAACAACCTTTCTCGGAGAGGTGACCTTGGTTAAAACACAGCGCCAAGAATGTGAGCAAACGTATTAAGAACAGTATGCCATATATGCCAGGTCCCTTGAAACAGCAAGGATGGACCGGCTCTGGCATCGGGGATGCTGGGGATGCGTAACCACCTCCCGGTTTCCTAACCCCGCCTTTCCCGCGCTCCAGCCTCTTTTGCGCTTTCTCGCGAAGCTGCTCTGCCCGTCCCCTGGACCTCAGCCTTTCGTGCTTGCCCTCCAACTCGCTCCCTCTCTGACCACCTCTTCTGTCATCTCTCTGGTTCTCTCCACGTTCCTTCCTTGATTGGTTGGGGGGAGCCTTGAGAAGGGCTCCAGGTGTTAGTCCAGTGGGGTCAGCCCAGGCCTGGGTTTAGCAGCCTCAGTATTGGAATCTAAATAGGAAAAAATTCAGAGCCATAAGAGAGCATTTATCAAGTCACAGAGTCGTAGAGGAGGAAATTCATGGAAGAAAAGGGCTTAGGTTAGGAGATAGCAGGTAAGTTATAGAGGCAAAGGAAGGGCCCTTAGAGCTTAGAGGTGACCAAGGTCAAGGCCACCTGTCTGGGGAGAGGGGGAGGAGGAGGGAGAAGGGGAACGCAGGACTGCTCCCAGGAGAGCATGCCAGGTCCTCCTTCCAAAGGGCTCTAAGGGAGGAGGTTTCAGGGGAGGACCCGGGGGGATCTCAATAGAACAGGCAGCAGCTTCCCAGGTGTGTCGGCCCAGGGCTGGGTCTCCACTGACGGACTGGCAGGCACCAGATGGGTCATTAGTCAGCGCAGCTGGTCCTGAGGTCAGCCGGGGCTTGTTGTTGCTTTTGTCTGGTTTTGCTGCCTTTCTAGGCCTGGAGCTGAAATACAACTGAGGCCCAGATGTTATCCCGAGGTAAGGAAGGTCCGAGGGTCCAAACCACATGGCCAGCAAAATGCCAGTAGTGAGGGGAGGAAAGGGACCTGGGGACGGGGTCCCCCCAAAGTGGTCCTTTGCTGGGCACCCAGGGCTTGATGGCCCAGTGACTTCTGTGCTTGGCCCACAGTCCTTACTCTGCTCATGTGTGTCTAGCTGCCCACCACAGATTCAGTAAAGTCTTGGAAACCGTACTAATTTCCCTCCTCACAGGGCTGTTGCATGAATAAAATACGAGTTTAGGTGAAAGCACCTTGAAAACCGTTAAATGCTAGAAAAAGTCAAGGTAGATCATTTTGATCTTGCAGTTTTGTTCTTATTCTCCCAATGCTGTATCTTTTTCATAAGTCTAACTATTCTTTAAATTCCTGACAACCACTGAGCTTTTTATAAAGTCTGTGACCTTTTTTGTACTATGTAAAGTCAAGGTTGTAGTTTAGAACAAGATCAATTATTTCAACTCTTGTTCTCACTTTTGTGATCTCTTATTCCTTCTACAGTGATTCCCTGCCCCCCACCT